TGTGTGCCATTATAACCGCTGTTTTTGCTACATTAGTCTGTGTACTTCACTCTACACAACCCCTGAACAAAACATAAGGGGTTGAATAGTGTTGGAGGGCCCCTCTAAAGCATGGGTGGGATGCGTCATGTGGGGCGGGAGTGCTTATTCTGAGGTTAATGTGATCGACTCAGACCTCAGGCCGATGATGGCACCATTTTCACTAAGGAAGTCCATCCCTGGAGCACTGTTACAAAGCTTGCAGGGCAGGTCCGCTTATTGATGGTGACTCTTGCTGTGCAGAGCCCAATGGGAGTTATTAGGTGACCTCCAGAGGTTCGAATTTCAGGACCTCCCCATGCGGTCTGTACTTTCTTCAACTTTGCGGGGAACGTCCCGCTGATGACGGAATAGTTAGCTCCGGTGTCGACGAGAACTGTGACGTTGTTTCCATCGATGAGAATTTCGAGGTCACTAGTTCGTCGCCTGGCGATGCGGTTGGGTCGTGGCGTCAGATCACCGCTGCGTCGGCTTGTTCCGCTGCATTCATATTGCGTTGTCAGGTCGTCTTCGGTACGTGAGGTTTCGTCATCATGGCTCTGCCTGGTTCGCGTCGTGTTCGGAAAGTTTTCTCGCAGCGTCGTCGTCAGATTTTCGGTAGTTCGTTGCACAGCAACCGCTCTTTCATCCGTTGCTGCCCTTAGTTTTCCGAATAAGGGCTGACAGAACTGCCCCAGCAGGAGCCGCTGTACTTCATCATTGCTGAGGGTACTGGTAGTGTCCAGGTTATGGCGAACGCGGTGACAGCTGAGGTGCCTATTCAGTGCTGGCGAGGTAGTCCGCAATGTCACGTGGCCACTCTCCATGCTGTAGGGGCGGTGCGAAATCGCGTAGGCCCATTTGGCGGTACTGGCAGCGGTGGTATGTGTGGCCTGCTTCTCCGCAGTGATAGCACAGTGGGCGGTTTGCAGGAGCAGGCCAGATATCCGTTTTACAACGAAAGCTGTTATGAGATCACAACTCCAGTCTCGCGCAGCGCCATAGTTGTCTGCGGCCACCAGTGTCCGTAACCCCATCATGCGATATTAGAAAAAGAGCCTAGTACCAATCACACAGTGGGGCTCAAACCGGGTCCGCTGGGTGCCAGCCCAGTATTCTACCACTGGCCCAGCCAGTGCTTGGGACTTGTTGGCAAACTTGCCTTAGGCAGGCTTGATGTCAGGAAAGCAATTGTGTTAATACGACTTGTAAAGTGTTCTAAAACCGCAAAAAAAAAAAACAGGCACTCATCGCACAATGCGAATAGCGTAACAAGTGGGTCGTCCAATGCTCCAACCAATTGCAAAAGCTTGTTTTTGTTTAGCTATTAACTGTGGCGCTCACCCACTTCAGGCATAATTCTTTATCGTTGTCAGCCACTGCATGAACAATTGGCACAAAAGTCCTCACAATAGTTTATCGGATACCACGCATCTCAGAAAAATGATAAAAAATAGCATAGCAAATTTTCGCTTATTACCCTAAAATTTTTATTATTAATGCCATTGTGGGCATCAAGCAAGTGTGCTTGTAGCAGTTACTCAATGAGTGTTTAGAAAAAGCTCTGCAAGGCCGCTCATCTAGCTTTTGCTGTGACTGGGCTGCGCCTTCCAGGCAGGCCTGGCGTTTTTCCTTGGCATGCTGCATTGTCCAACAGGGGGACGGTATGGCAGCGATGTTGGCACCGTATTGCAGCTCTGCGGCGTCATGACGTCGGCATGGCGGGGGAGGGTTGCGTTGGGCTGCAGCAGCATAGCTTATGGCTTGGGGCTGGTGCTGTTGCAGTTCTTCGGAAAGTCCAAGTGATTGCTGAACTTCTTCGCACACTATGTTGGCAATTGAATCTACTTGGGGCTGCAGCAAAGGCAAAAGCTTTCGTAGCTCCTCCTGAACGATTTCTCGGATGGTTTCGCGCAGGTAGTCGGAGAAGAGTGGGTGAATGTCTGCGTACCCTGGCGTCGAGCCGTCATTGAATTGTCGGGTCCGCATATCCAGCGTCTTTTATATTGTCGCCGCATTAGAGATAAATTCTTGGACGTTCTTTGGGGGTTTCGCATTAGTCCAGTGAAGAGTTCTTGCTTGATCCCTTGCATGAGAAAACAAACTTTCTTATGCTTGGGCATGCCGGGGTCACAGTGGCGAAACAGTCATGCCATTTCTTCTGCAAAGGTTGTCACATTTTCATTGTGGAGTTGCACCCTCGTCTCTAGCAATCTTGCAGCCCTTTCCTTGCGGACAATGCTCCAGAACGTGCCCAGGAATGTAACGCAGAAGAGATCCCAGGTTTGAAGGGCAGACTCTCTTCCAGATAGAAGACGCGACGCACTTTTTCTTCCTTGTCACAGTGGTTGAGGGTGCCCACTCGGTCGTGGGTCTCCAGCTAGGTTTCTGGGCCCTCAAACGTTGATCTCCGGAAAGTCGGTGGCTCCCTTGGTTTGTATTACAACCGTGGCAGGCGTTGGCCAAGGAGCTGTCATTTTTGTCGCAGTAGTGGACGTGGCCTTGTTCTTGTGAGTCTGATCGGGTAGAGCGCCGTAATCTGGATGTATCCCTAGTTGCCTGTGGCTAGCTCGCTGCTTGAGGTTGGCGTCGACGTCTTCTTCACAGCTGGGCCTGGGTTCACGGCTTGAGAAGGCGTCTGGTACATGAACAAGGTAGCATTTCTACCAGATCTCACGGAGTCGTGATGTCGACAAAGGAAGCAGACTGCAGGTCCAAGATGAAACTGTTTCTTCGGCAGAACATGCGGCCACCAAACAGAAGGTTAGGTTACTGCGATACACATTGACACTGACAGCGGCGAGCAGAGTGTCGGCCGTCGATCTACTCACGAGCGGTGAAGCATGTCTGCATTTATACATGTGCCGTCGACTGTTGTAGCGTTATCGCTAGTGGTCACGTAGGTTCCAGAATATTCTCTAATGTTCGCGAAGGGTGTGTAGTCTTAACAAAAGGATCTACTACAGACCCGAAGCTTCTCAAACACTGCAGGCGCAATTTTCGCTGAGTATTACGTACAGTGTAATGGGGCGATAACAAAACTTGAGGAAGGAACGTGGCAATATGATAATACACTGTCTCTAATAAAGGATTCGTTAGTCTATGCGAAGGAATGTACCATGCCATTTTGCTCATGCACAGTAATCATGAGATGCTAAAAAAATTTTTAAATGTATATATTTTGATATTAAATGCAGGTCAGTTGTTAGTCTGTGCTGGTCCTTGTGAACCTTTCATCATTGTCCTCGTGTGTGTGCTCTAAAGTTTCAGTATGCTGAGGGATTCTTTCTTTCCACCACATAGTCAAATGTCAGCGCTCCAATGCTACCACCAGCTTTCATTACAGGTGTTTGAGGACTTTTGTTGCACTGCAAGCATCACAGGCCAGAGAAATAAAACAATTATGGACCATCTCCCTGAAGATAACGTCGATGGGATGCGAAGCAGGAGTGGTGTGCACAGCATTGACCCAATTGAAATGGGCGTCGACACGGTTGCTGGAAGAATAGTTTGAAGCGAAACTTGGTGTAGCGTTCACTAGAGGAAACGACGTCCCCATTTCCAAACACGCACAACTTCGCTAACCCTCGCATGCCAACGACGGCCGGGTTAGGCCAAATCGCTTCAGTGCATATTTGGGCGAGTGAAGGAGCTTTGCCTTCCGGTGTCCTCTCCATCGCAGATAAATGAGCCAAAAGAGTGTTCACTCGATGTGCCCTCGAAAGTTGCAAGCGGGGCAGAGGGTGAAGCCAGAGAAAAGTGACAGGCGGTGAGCGCACATCAGGCGAGGCAGAGGGACGTCACGGCGCACTGTGAAAGAAGGCATCACCTACTTAGCGCTCCCCCAACACCTGCGGCAAGGGGAGTGTGGTGTGGCGCGTTGGCACGTAGACACAGACAGCGTTGCACAAGCTAGCGAAAGAACTATTTCACATCCAAAGTACTAACAAGCATAAAGAGAGATAGAGACAGAAAGAAGAAAAGAAATTTTGAAATACAACTCCGTTTTTCCAACGTTGTTGTTACTTGTTATGTAGGCAAGGTGCCCCCAATATGCGAGTAGTATTTGTTATTTTTTATTGAAAAGTATATCCTAAATGTGTGTAAATTATGCACAGATGCAGATAAAGAATAAATACAGTTGTCTAGGTTGACCTAATCCAATCCAATCCTAAGTGGCCTTGGCTGTAGACATTATAGTGAACTAGAAATTACTCCAGTGGCGAAACCGGCCGGGCTCCCACGTCCTCCTTTTACACGAATGCCGCGAGATGGCGCCATCTCAAAGTTTTATAGCTGCTTTGTCTGTGTAGCAGGACTCTCGCGGACTCCTTCAAACTTGCTGCTACGATTATTTTCAACATGTGAGTTTGCTACCTGGTTGTTCCAAACATCAAATAGCCGACTCGCTCACTGCCCGTGTCAGAGGCTATATTTTGACCAGGTATACATGTTTTTTCATACTGAGAGAAACTTCTAGACGCCTAAAACACCACAAGAAGAAAGACACACAGAGACACACTTCTTGTGGTGTTTTAGGCGTCTAGAAGTTTCCTTCAGTATGACAAACCAACTAGCGCAGCAACAAGTACTTCTAAGTTATATTTTTCGTATTTACTGCATGCACTCAGATTGTGTATACTTATTTTATATGAGTGCCTGATTTTTTTTTACCTCTTGAGGGTTTGTTTTCAGTGCAGTGTTCTACAAGCAGATGTGATGGTCATGGAACTCGCTTTTAATCATCATGGAAAACCTGGAGGAGTCAGGGGACTTGAGAAAATCAAGTTGGCAGACACCTTGGCATTGTAACTACAAGAGATGCTTCTAAAAAGATTTCTGTTAGGACTTTGAGTTCCATTATTTTATTCCTATGATTGACAAAAATAATTTTTATTGAAAAAAAAAACTAAAGAAAAGAGTACCCTTAAACTTCAGCTGCAATAACTGCTCGTCTGACCACTTTATTCTTTTGCTCCCAGGAATTCCTGCCCAGATTTGGTGAGAATGACAAGGAGGAAAAGGTGGAAACCTTGCAGTGAGTTGACTTGCAAACTTTCTAACAACCGACCTGTGCCACTTCAGTTGTTTGGCGAACGGGCTAGGTCAACAAAAACAACACTTTATTGGTGTATTAGCAATAACACATAGATGTCGCGTAGAGGGACTGTTCGCTCTATGAAAATAAGAAAAGGTAGGCTTACATCTTTGGTTGTCGATTTCCTTGGCTCCCAGGGATTCCGAAGGTGAGTGGTCCCGGTGTGGTCGCTGCTGCAAGAGCGACCCTTTCGCTTTCAGCATGCTCATTTCGTCCAACTTCCTGTTCCCTCTGCCCAATGAGGGTTGCTTCCCTCGTCAAGGAAGAGTAACCCATTTCCGTGAGCAGGGAAGGGGGGAAGGGGAGATAGAGTGCGCGCTGGTGGCAGGGTGAACTGTTCTTTTAAAGAGGCTTTATTGTCTCTTTCTCAAAAGGACCAAAAGGACTGTTCTCGCTACTAGGCTAGCGAAAAAGGGAAAGGAAGCATGGGCGTGCATGCTTCACCACACGTGAAGAGGTGTCAACTGATGTGTCACTGCCTGTGGCAGTGACACATCAGTTGTGCTATATAAATAACAATGAACCTTTTTGAATACAGAGCTTTCCTGATGACATGTATGACATCACGCATCTGCGCCTGCTCGGAAGTTTTCTCGGCTTGCAGCCTCTAAACAGCCCGTGGTAGTTGGCGCTCACATGTCTTTGCCCTTTCCAAGCTTTGCGCCGCACATGCTACAGTCCTGAATTGTGTGAAAGTGACCTTTGTAGAACCACCCATAACTGTGAGCGAAAGGAGGGGAAGTTTTTTCCATCTTTGTTAGACACAAATTAGTCCAGCCAAGGAAAAGACCCACAACATTCGAAATATGCTCCCAGTGCTTTTTCATGATAATAAATCAGGGTTTGTACAGGTCCTTGAAATCCTTGAAAAGCCTTGAATTTGAAAAATGCATTTTCAAGGCCCTTGAAAGTCCTGGAATGTTTTGCCATCTTTGAAAATCCTTAAATTTCCTGAGCAGTGCACTCTCATATCGACATTGCGACCACCTAAATGTGGTACATTGGTGTAAGAACCTGTCAAACTTCCCATTTCTGAAGCAGTAATGGGGCGTGGGTGCAATTGATCTCATTTTGCAAAAGTGTATGTGAAGAAAAAAGTTAGATTGTGGTGGGGGTGAAGCAGTGAATGTGATAGTGAAAATTGGAATGTCACACGAAGAAGGGCAAGCAACCCCATACATGCAACGTGCCGCTCAAGCATGAAGGACGCATGTAAAGAAAGCGCACAGGACGAGTGCTGATGAACGACTGTCGTAGCTCGACACTGGAAGCGTGCTGCTTAAACAAACGAAGAACGGTGCTAGAAAATTGCACACGTATATACATTGAATGAGTGTAAATTAACCTCTGTCACAGTTGTTACTTCTTGGTTGTTGAGCAATGAGCTGCGAGTGTCAACTGCGCACAAGCCGGCACTCTTGACGGGGTGGTGCCATCAAATTTCAAGGCTATACCACACACCTTGTGGGTTTAAGAATATATTTTAAGTCACTTTCCAGCTGTACCTAAATCATCATTCTCCTAATTGAGGTCCATTGCGAGCACGTCCAACGCTGACGTAGCTCTACAGGAAGGGCAACAAAATTTCTAGTGGCATCACACCAGATCTGTAGTCTGCTGAGTGACCTCCGGACTTCTGCCCCATACATATCGGCAAAGCAGCGCGGCTGCTGCAAGTAGCGGCGAGATTGTTTTGCAGGTGCTTGTGTGGCACATGTGTGCAAGAGCTGACAACACTCAGCACGAGGCATGCAAAGCTTTGTGATCACGTGACTAAGTAAGATACACTGCTATGTACCTGCACAACTCGGTCCCCACAAACAGGAACTGAAAATTGTCCGTACCAAAAAGGCAACCAATTATATAGCGAGAATAAATTAATCTTGGTACGGGTATCGTGCTTATTGGAGCTATAATTAGAGCTTGCAGCAAAGAGCACACAAGCCACAAATATTCTGGCACGACCTCTTTAAGGCCCGACTACACATGCGCGTTGAAGCCCATCAGCGCATAACTTTCCGACATGACATCGTGCCCTCTCCCAATGAAGAGGGTGCGAGAAGTTATTAATACTACACTCTTGTTTTTATAATTGTGATATCTTTATATTGTAAGTGTAATGGAATTGTCATTTTTGAAAATTTTTAGAGTGAAGAATTCCAACTTAGTATGCTGCTTTGAGTTCTTGAAAAACTTGCAACAGGTCCTGGAAAGTCCTTGAATATCCTTGAATTTTCGCTTCGGAAACTTGTACAAACCCTGTAAATGAATTGAACAGGTCGAGGGAAAGCACAGGGGCCATTCAGTGTTTCCTTTGACTGTACATAATGTAGCAATGAGAACGCAAAAAATAAATTGTAGTGCAACATTATAGCAGGGATGGAAGTGCTGTGCCAATCGCACCATTCTGTGCCAATGTGACCTGCTGTGCCAGGCTGCCCATAAATGGCAATTTCTGTGAGAATTGTTGATTAAAGTGTAAACCACCAAATCTAACTGATTATAATCGTCAATTGAGTAACATTGAACGTTGGCTACATCAATGATGCAGCCGCATTGCCACATCCATTTCCAGCGGAGTTTGATCACGTAGTAATTCGGTTCATGCTTGGGGCTCTCATTGCTGTTATTGTCGTGCTTTCCCTGCAAAAGTGGTGGTACCAGCATGAGTAACTGTCCACTAAAACAGTGAAACCTCGATGATTTGTACCAGCTGGGCACATGGCGCGATCATGCTCGCAATGGCAGTCCACATTTACAAGTTCAATAGTGCATCTACTGATGTGCCCCATCGCCACCAAAAAACAACTGCAGTACCACAGCAGATGTTGCCCAAAGTATCTACCAGAAAGTATTTTCTTGCTTTATGCCACAGTTTGGAAAAAATCATGCGCGGCTGGCACTCTCCCATGAATATTTTGCTGCGCGCAATAGCGACGCTAATTAAGGTGCATTTAGAAAATATTAGTGTCCGGGATGCGCAGCGACTGAAGTAGCGACAGAATGTACACTATTGATTTTACGTAATACATATGTGTGCTTCTCTACTGCGATATGATACTGAGTAACAACTGACACTTTTATTAAAGAGTTTCACAAGCACTCGGATCATCTCTTAGTTACTTGTGGGCAGCACGGTGCCTATATTGTGCCTATGTACCGTCGCTGCCGGGCGGCTCGCTATACCATGTGTGCTGATTCGCTGTGTGAATTGCTGGTCCCCACTTCGCTTCAGACTGAGCACAGATGAGCTGCGTAGTGTGTTTAATCAGCGTCGGGAAAACAAACTTCCGCCAAGTGAAGTGTGCCGCGATTATATATACTCCATTTCACACATCAGGTACAACACTGCAAAAGCTGTAGTGAGACTCCTTGTGGTAGATACGTTCTCATAAAGAAATAGTTCTGTGTTTTGACCACCCAGAATATATTTTTATTTTAATTTCAGACTGAGTAAGAAATGGGCATGTTTTGTATCTCTCTCAAACACGGACACACGCACGTACATTCATGCGCGCGTACAAGTGGTAAGTTTGGTGAGCTAACTATAGTCGAAACCCGCAACAACGAAACCCCGCGAGTACGAAATCCCCGCGGCAACGAAATATTTACGGATCCCCGGCGAACGTTCATAGAAGCCCATGTATAACGTATCTCGCGGCAACAAAATGTTTTTGAACAGGGATCACGCATTAACGAATTTTCGACCCGGGTGCGGGCCTTATTTTACCCTCCCGCCAAAGGTTAACTGTCGAAAATGTGCTAGTATGCGTGTTATGCGCACTCAAAATTTGTAAACGGCTGCTTTTGCCGCGCTAGCGTGGGTATCACCATATTTGTTTACTTAAGGGGGGACGCGGCGTTGGGATCGCGAAAAATGGCAAAAAAAAAATTGATTTTTTGAAAATTAAGTTTTCAGTTTCTGGAACCCTTTTTCTATCTGATTCCAAAATATCTACACTGAAAACTGCGCAGAAGTGCTTCGAAAAATTCATTTCACTCACCTAGGTAGCGGAACTTTTTCTGGAAATTGCGAGAAAATAGTGATTTTCAAAAAATTATGTCTTCGCGATGGCGGGGCCAGGAGCTGACTTCTTGGGCTCATCGGAAAGAGCATTTCTCCATGTTTAACTTTCCCGCCTCAGCTGGCTCCTCCCTTTAAAAACAAGCGCACAAAAAGCAAATGTTTGAAGGTCATTTCGAGGCCCTTGATTGGCTGTGGCCGCCATGTTGCCTCACCTCGCCTCGCCATTGTCCCGATGCTCGCTCCGAGAGATCGTCGTCTGCTGCTTGTCCGTCGCGAGGACATGGCTCTCAAAAATTGCTACTTCGTGACATGTTCACGGCTCGATAACCACTTAAGATATAATTACGCTTTAGTTAGGAGCAGTAGGCAGATGCGCGATCAGGTTGCTACGAGCGCGGCGTGTCATCGGAGTCGTCTTTAGCCCTCACTTCTCCGACAGCGAGACTGCTGGCAGGAATGCAGGCTAGCGCACTCGTAACGATGTGCTTTGTCGCAAGCCACGAAGCTGTAAGCGGCGGCACGATCACATTACTACGAGTAGTCGCACCGGATGCACGATCAGATTATTACGAGCAGGCGCGCGGTCTACGAGCGGGGCGCGTCATCAGAGCCAGCTTTAGCCCTAACTCCGCTGACAGCGAAACTGTGGGCAGGAATGACGCGCCGCTAGAACATCCAAAAAAACCCGCGGGTTGTTTTGGATGCGCTGGACACTCTTCGCTCCTTCTTCGGCGCACGTGACGTCGACGTAGCAATCGACCACTTTTTCCAGTGCGAAGGGACAGCTTTGCAGTTGTTGCATGGCAAGGGTCGGCAAAGTAAGTTGACCGACTTCTGGCAATAAATTTTCGTTCTGCTGGCCGTATCACTGTTTTTATGTCTCATACTTGCGGCAACGGAATTCTCGTGAAAA